GATGGAGTAGTGTGCGTTCTTCGAGATTTAGAAGACGATGTCACGATCATTGAGTTAGGAATCGGATGTGTCATTAAAAACTCTGCTTCTGGGTCTTGAATTTTATACATGTGATCCAGTTTCCGTGTGGATACTGGAGCAGAGGATGGGTTCTTCCACGGAGATTTAGCCGCCTGGACCAGAACAGATGACATGGGCAGAGCCACCACCGAGGAAGTGTCCATTTGAACAACATCGTAGAGTGAGTCAGTGGATTGAGGAGGCTTCTGGACCACAGAGAGATTCAAGGCAATGGCCATTCGTTTAATCAAGTCTGCATAAGTATGCAAATTATCGGATGGAGAAATTGGTAAGTCCTGGGAAACGTCTGGTGTTGGAGATGTGTGGTCCGGAGATGTAGGTACCACTGAAGCCTCGGAGTCGGAACCCTCTGCCATATCATCAGATGAGTCTTGTTCCGAATCAGTTTGAGGTGTAATAGGGACAAGTGGTACTGCAGGCACCAAGGGTTTCGGTGTCGAAACCTTAGGCTGTGGCTGTGTCTCCAATGTTAGCGGAGGAGGCAAAGGATCAACCCGAGAGAGGTCCGTAATTGGAGGTCTTGATATTGTTGCAGAAGGCCGTGATCTAGTAGGCGACCCGGATCTGTGCTCAGAATGAACAGAATAACGGTCCCAGTCTGAATAGGCAGCAGGTGTGAGCCACGGCATTAGAGAGTGATATGGTCCGTACAAATACCTCATTTGTTTCTCATCCCATGAAAGCGGTGGTCGGAAGGACCTAGGGGAGCGGCTTCTAGCCCTCATATGTCCTTGTCATGGGCTGCATGACGATAGCCAGACGTATCGGTATTGATGGCCTGTACAAGCTGAGATGGATGATAACGCTCCATGTTAGGTCTTGGTCGGTGCCGATGGCCGTCGGTATCGGGCAGTTCTGAAAGCATTGATGCCGATGAAGTAGATTGTGCGGGGGGGGGGAACTCTGCACCTATCGGGTGACTCATGAGTTCCGCCGTATCGATATCGATAATCTCTGGAATCTGTTGGCTCATAGGAGAGGCCAGTAGATCAGAAGGCGACATTCGAGGAGGCGGAGGCTCCGGTATCGACGCCTCATTCGATATCGATGCCACCTTCGGTTCCATCATAGTTGGTGCTGGGGGCTGTAAAGGAAGGCCCTCAGAGGGCACTGCCTTACCCGTCTTAGATGACTTGGGCGGCTTATCCTTCTTAGTAGAATGGCCTTTCACGGGCTTGTCTTTAGGGCCTGCCTGTGTAGTAGATTTCGAAGCGGTTTTCGACGTCGATTTCGTCGATGTCGACGCTTTCGACGTCGATTTCGTCGATGTCAACGTACCGGTACCGACGGCTGCTTGGGATGTCGAAGGCTGGTCCTCCATAGGAGAAGACGGGTGAAGCGCAGATTCCAATAAAGCGACCTTTAAACGTGCCGCACGGTTCTTCTTTGTTTGGTTGGAGAATTTGGCACAATGCTTACAAGTTTCCGGCTTATGAGATTCACCTAAGCAGAACAAACACAGTTCATGGCCGTCTGGGGCCCCCAATTTACTTCCACACGTTTTACAACGATTAAAAAATCCCCACTTTTTGTTCTTTTTCTTTTCCATGCGGCGGTAAGAAAAAAGGGAAGCCGAAGAAAAAGGTGAAGGGGGGGGGGAAGGGCCCGAAGGCCTGAGGGAAATTTCCCTCAAGAAAACTAAAATCCTTTTTTTGGGGGGGAAGGAAAGAGAAAGAGAAAAAGTTCGAACGGAGAAGAGATCCGAAGAAACGAAGATGAGCTGGAGGCCCGAAGGCGGCTACAACAATCCGGTCAGGAGAAAAGGTAAGGAAGTCCTTTCAACGCGACGGTAGAAAGAGAACTGGCGGGATGTCCGCGCCCGTCCCTCTGGGCATGCGCAGTGGGGTTCTTGCGCATGCCTGGAGGGGCTCGGCGTGAAAATCCATTGAAACAGAGCTTGCTACAGCACCGGTTGGGTCAGCGCGTGCGCACTAAACCCATTGGTGTGAAGCACAGAGACCACGAAGAAGATTAAGTGGATCTGCACGATGGTAACGAAGGCAGTGAAAAAAGGTGTGATGTGGCTAAAGAAAGGATGGACAGAATGCGCCACAAGGAAAAAAACTTGTGTGCAGAGCAATCTGTGCAGCAGTATAGGCAGAGAAAAAAGGCATAACAACAGGTTGTCTTTTTCAGGGATTAGAAGTGCATTTCTTTTCTTTTTTAAAATAAGTACCCGAGGGTACACTTTTATTATTTTTTCCATTCACAACATATAACATGAGACTTTATTATTTCTTCTGCTTATTAAATTTCTAAATTCATTATCTATTTTACTAAGCTTATCTTTTCTGCATTCTCAAATTACTACATTTATCTATCAGTTACATTTACATTATACCAATCGTAAAATCTCTTCCAAGTTTTTTAAAAAGTCCATTCTCTACCGGCTCTCATCTCAAGTGTTAGTTTGTCATTTTCCGCCGTTTCAAATAGCTTGTTCACGTACTCTTGTTTCGTTGGTATTTCCATTATTTCCCAATATTTGGCATATACTATCCTTGCAGCTGTCGACATATGAACTATCAAATACCTACCTGCTTTATCAAAGTTTTATATTTTTCTGCCAAAACTGCTCCCACTCTTCAAAATTAATATTACGGCTTATATTCTGGGCCCACATAATCATATTTTTTTCACCATTTCATCAGCCATCACATCGTCCAATAAAATCTTATATATTTTATCACTTTGTTTTCTGCTGTTAAAACAGTTTCTTCCAGTTTAGTTATTTTATTATTAAAACCTAGTTTCCTATCCTTCAAATATATTGATTCCAGTTGCGCTTTCTTCCACCAGGATAATTGTTCTGGTAATTTCAGATTGTCTTTTTTATCCAAAATGTCCTGGTATCTTAACGATTCTTCTCCCACATATACATTAGGTAAGGTAAATGCATCTAAAGGTATAATCAGTTTTGATCTTTTAGTATAAAAGTTTTTATGTATAGGGTCCCAAACCTTTAATAATGCTGCTCTCAGCCAATGCTGTTTAAAATATTTTTGAGGGCCTGCTTTTTCATACTACAAAAAAGCATTCCATCCTAGCAGTAAATCATGGCCCTCAATTTTTAAAAGTCTCTTATCTTCTAAAGTAATCCATTCTTTAATCCATACTAATGCTGCAGCTCTATAATACAATAACCAATTTGGTACTCCAAACCCTCCTCTTTCTTTTACGTCATGTAGCATTTTCAATCTTATTCGTGCCCTTTTCCCTTGCCATATAAACTTAGATGTCATCTGGTCTAAGTCTTTAAACAAGTTTTGATTTTGTAGTATCGGAATAGTTTGAAAGAGAAACATCCATCTAGGTAAAATATTCATTTTTATTGTAGCGATTCTCCCCATCATGGAAAGTTGCAGATTTTTCCATTTGTCCAAGTCTTGTTTAGATTTTTGTAGCAATACTTTATAGTTGTCTTCATAGAGTGTACTACATTTATTTGTAACCGTAATTCCTAAACATTTAGCTTTTTTTGCAATCTGACATCTTGTAATTTCTTGTAACTTTTCTTTTTGTTTGTCGTCCAAGGCCAGACTCATTGTCCACCGCACCTCAGCAAAGGGGGGAATATGCCTCATCAGGCTGCTGGCACACAGGAGAAGCCTCCAAAGAGGACCAATTAGGCCAGGTTCTTTTTCCACCACACCTCAGCATGGAGGGGGGAATATGCCTTCATCAAGCTGCTGCCACACATGCGAACCTCCAAAGAAGGCCATTGAGGCCAGGCTCCTTTTCCACCCCTCCTCACTAGGGAGGGGGAAGCCTTTGAAGAGAGCTCTTCTGAGTCCAGCTCTTTCCATACATGCCTTCAGGGGAAACTGGTGACAGCAAGAGCAAGCAGCTCTGCTGTGTGAACCCCTAGGCAGCCAAGGCACAGAGAATGGCTGTTTATCAGCACAATTTTTAGTCATAAAGACACAGTGGAAATCCACAAAAAATGTCTTCTTTTGACGTATTTTATTGTTCACTAGAATAAAACTGTCCGACTCAAAACCAAGGTGAGGGAAAAAAACAGGAAACGGCAGTGGAGATCCTCTCTCCGCGGTGGCAAAAAGAGAACTGAGGGAGTAGCGCCCCTCCTCCTGGTCATGTGTGCGTTTTGGCGGGAAAGCGCCAGAGGGAGGAGGGGTGCTCCTAGTCTATTAGAAAGCTTGGAAATGTTTTCCGTGGCTGGCCTGAGGAAGCGCATTCCCATGTGTGACTGCACAGAAGCCACAACGATGAACCATTTGAATAGCAGATGTATCACACAAACATCAACACATTAAAAAAAATTCAGACCACCCTATTTTTCTCCAAGGGACAAAATCTCCCATTTTGATACGGTAATGCGTTACAGAAAGAATCTCACCTTATGCAGATTATATTCTCTTGACACAAAGGGAGGCAACAACTGCCTGGTTTACTTCTTGCCCTGCTATTTTTATTCCCTGAGATTGGAGACTTTGGTTACCCTGAAGCTTTAAAGTTCATGACAAATATTGTGTATGCTAAAGTGGGATTATTTATTGTCTTGGTTCCCGGGGTCGTTATCAGACTACGGTATTTTGCTGGGTGACTAAGCTGATTGGGTGGCTCAGGCTAGCCCAATCTCATCAGACCTCGGAAGCAAAGTAGGGTCGGCTCTAGTTAGTACTTGGATGGGAGTCCAGGGTTGCATGCAGAGGCAGGCAATGGCAAACCACCTATTTGTCTCTTGTCTTGAAGGTTCTACAGGGTTGCCATAAGTCAACTGCAACTTGATGGCACTTCCCACCACCATTGACTGCTGTTAACTTTGTTAACTGCTCTGTATCATGGAGAAGCATGATAAAAATTCTTAATTAAATAAATGTATTCTAGTGGGATAGTTCACCATGACTTCTGGAACAGGACTTGATTAGTAATTCTTTAGTAAACATAAACAAACTTACCTTTGGATGCCACTCTGTTTCTTTGTCAATAGGTTTAACCCGACAAACAATAAATTCCACAGCCTGAGGGGGTAAGGCTTGAAACTTCTCTGGCAAGTGAAGCAACTGATAATTCTGGACCTGACCAGATCGGCCTTCATCTATGTACCTGATATGAACACTATAAAACACACAGTTTTCTTCTTTTGCTCCCACTTCCAGTACTTGAACCCTTGAAGAGAAAACAAAAAAGGGTCCTGGAAAATGACTTCAATCTGCTAAAATCTAGACTGTCTCATCGTTCAATAATTTCTTTGCAGAAGTCAGATGTTCCCAAACTTGTTGAGCCTGTGGGCACATTTGGAATTATGGGAAAGGGCAGTGCCCACCACAAAAATAGCTGCTGTCAGAGGTGGGACCCGTGAAGAATGTTAGGAGGTGCTAACCCAAGTGTTCTCCTGTGATGGAGGCAGCTCTTCCTGAATGAGTGCTCCTTGCAGACCCAAGGCTGATGCCTCTTGGGGGTCTTCTGAAGCACCTCCAAGTCCAGTGAAGCCAGGAGCAGATCTCTGCTTTGGAGAAGAGGCAAGTGACAAGCAGAGCAGGAAAGATTAATCCAGCACAAGAGCCACTGAGAGAGGTTCTCTGAGACAGCCGATAGGAGCTGTGGCAATGCTCCCTCTAAGCTGCGGAGTCTTGTGAGCAAAAATTCTACTTTGTGAGCTACTGGCATTAAAGTTGTGAGGGAGCGATTCGGCTGCTGCATAAATTAGTCTGCTCTGGAGCCATCCTTCCTGAGCCAAGACAAAAATATGTGAGCTGGAGGCTAAAAAACTATGAGCTAGCTCACACTAACTAAGCTTAGAGAGAACACTGGCTGTGGGCTGGGAAGGCAGAAGCCTGTTAAGATTTTGGTAGGTTATGTGACACAGAAGGACTGTTGATGGGTTAATTTACCAGGAATGTATTAAAGGAATAAAATCTTAAATTCCCCTGTCTAAGTAACCAAGTGTAAAAAGATGTTACAGTATCCCAGCAGGCTTGACAGAGCCATGTGTGTGTGTGTGTGTGTGTGTGTGTGTGTGTGTGTGTGTGTGTGTGTAATAAACCTGCCCAGGAAGGATCTTTTTCCCTGGCATGCACAGTTTAAGGCCTGAAATCTCACACTGGCAATATTTACCCCAGTTTTTTCCCCTTATAAATATACTATATTATTTTTTCTTTGAAAAGTAAGCTGTCCTTTCCCTGTCGGTTTTCCTCATTCCTCAGCCACTGGCCTAGGCCCAAAACTGTATCCCCAAGTTTTTAAAAGTTCCTCCTGCAAATCCCAGTGTGAGAGGCAGGCTAGGAACTGTGATGGAAAATTCTTTGGCTTGGTGTCCAGTTCCAAAAAACATCTCACCAATCACTTTGGGGAAGAGACAAGTGGGGCACTAGGAAGCACTTCAGCGGGCACACTGATCTAAGTATTCTACCTGTGGAAAAAATGTTCTTCTTGTAATCCGCACACTGCCAGCTTCTCCACAGTGTCAACAGAGATGAGATTACTAGTTTTCTTATAATACTCATTCAGCTCTTCTGCAAGGGTTGTATACTGATCCGTTAGTTTACCTACTATGCGGCCAAAGTACCGTGTGGCATCGACAATAAAAAGTGGTAGCATCTGAAATGGCAGAAATGCATGTAAAAAGGAGAGCCCTGCACATTTCCAAAAAAAGGCAATACAGATTTCTGCCAGTTATCGAATTTATACATTTGTTACACCAGTTCTGATGCTGACATTCTCCAACTGATCTCTCTTCATTACCACTTCTCTCCACTCCCATTCCCTTTTCCGGCTAGTCTTTTAGGGCTAAACTAGACACAGCTATGACAGATAGGTATTAACCGCGGACCTGCCACAATCATATGTAAAGTGGAGTTTGGGAGGGTCTCATCTAAACAGCAAAACAAGGGTGAGGAAACAAGAACTTTCCTGTGGCTTAACTCACTGAGCCCCCTTTCCCAAAAAGCTGCTCGCTCTCTCTCTCTCTCTCTCTCTGCCAGGATCAGTTCCAGTATTTGTGTCCTGGCTACAGAGAAAGTCTATGTGGAAAGGAGCTGCAGAAAAAACAGGTTGCTTACCTGTAACTGGTGATCTTCGAGTGGTCGTCTGTGCATTCACACCCATGGGATCAAGTGTGCATGTGCTGGATCGATCGGCATTGTAGCAAGCTCTCAACAGATTTTCGCGCCCAGACCTCAGGCATGCGCAGGAACCCCACCGCGCATACCCAGAGGGGTCGGTGCGGACATCCCGCCAGTTCCTTCAAACCACCGCGAATCAACCCGTATGAAAAATGTAGAAGCTGACAGCAGCGGGGAAGGAGGGCAGGTGGTGTGAATGCACAGATGACCACTTGAAGATCACCAGTTACACGTAAGCAACCTGTTTACCTTTGACGTGGTCTCTGTGCTTCACACCCATGGGAGATTAGCGAGCAGTGGCCTACCTGGAGGAGGGTGCTGGCAGGTCCTTACTGCATAGCCGAAGACAAGATGTGATGTCCCATGTTGGTACTAGAGTTTTTACGGACGTCTAGGGCGTAGTGCCTTATGAAGGTGTTAGGTGTCACCCACGTAGCGGCTTTGCAAATGTCCACTAACAGAACTCCCTGGAGGAAGGCAGTGGAAGTCGCAACAGCTCGGGTTCAATGGGCCTTGATAGGGCCAGGCAATGGCTGTTTGTCGATCAGGTAGCAGAGGTGGATGAGACCCGCAATCCACTTTGAGAGGCGCTGAGCCGTGATGCGAGTCCCCAGCCTTGCTGGTGCATAGGAAACGAACAGTTGGGAGTGACGTCTCGTTGGGCAGGTCCTGTTCAGGTAGAACAGGAGCGCACATTTCACATCCAAGGTGTGTAACAGTCTGAGGATGTCGGAGCCAGGAAAAAATCCGGGAGGAAGACGTCTGCCTGTAGGTGGAATTCTGACACTACCTTTGGCAGGAACGAGATGTCAGGTATGAGGTGGACACTGTCTGGCAAAAGGGACAAGTAAGGCGTGTCATGTCTGAAAGCCAGTATTTCTCCAACTCGCCTCGCAGAGGTGACAGCAATCAGAAAGGCCGTCTTCCACGACAGGAATTTCAGGTCGCAAGTTGCGAGTGGCTCAAAGGGTTTCCTCGTGAGCTGACGAAGAACTAGAGGGAGGTCCCAGGGAACGACAGGAGTTTTGATGGGAGGGTATAGGTGCAACAGTCCCTTCAAAAAACGTTTTGAGAGGGGATGCGAAAACAGTGTGCATCCATCAACTTGAGCATGGTAGGCCGAAAGTGCGGCCAAATAAACTTTTAACGAGGAGTGAGAAAGTCCCAAGTCAGCGAGGGACAGGAGGAATTGGAAAACTTTCTCGAGACCCACGGAGGTGGCTCGAGGGGCATCGTCACCCAAGGAGGAACAGAATCTTTGCCATTTGTAATGGTAGGACTTTCGCATAGCAGGCTTTCTGGCGTTTAATAAAACATTTGCTACACGGGTGGAAAAACTGTTGACGGTATTCTCCACACTGTTAATTTCATGCGTGGCACGTCGTGGTACAGGAGAGGGGAGTCGGACAGGAAGAGGAGGTCCTGTGCCGGAGGAAATTGGTGGTATACCCCTGCTGACAAATCGAGGATGGTCGAGAACCATGGCTGCCTCGGCCACGACGGCGTTATCAGGATCCAGTCCGCTTTGTCGCTGATGATCGTGACAGCGAACTGTATTGCAAGCAGTTCCAGGAAGTTTATGTGCCGCCTTTGTTTGTGGGTGTACCACTTGCTCCGACACAAAGACCCATCATGTGGGCACTCCAGCCCAACAGGGAAGCATCCGTGGTTAGGGTGATTTGGGGTGATGGAAGATGGAAAGGTGCTCCCTGGAAGAGATTGGAAGGGACAGTCCACCAAAATAAAGAGTCTCGTAGGTTGGGAGGATGGGTTAGGACGGGGGTATGTGCGTTTTTTGTTGGGTCGTACTTGCGGATAAACCACAGTTGTAGGCAACACATTTTTAATCTGGCAAAGACGAAGTCTGACGTAGTTGCAGCCATAAGACCGAGTAATCTCTGTATTTGGAAAGCCGTGACCGAAGGCTGGGTATGAACGACGTTGGCTAAGTAAATGATGTCTGCCACTCTGTCTTGTGGCAGGTAAGCCATGCATGTCTTGGAATCCAGTAGAGCACCGATGTACTGTATTTTCTGGACCGGTTGAAGATGAGACTTTTTCCGATTGACTTGTAGGCCTAGGTTTCCCAAGAGTGCCATGGTCTCGTTGATGTTTGAGACCAGGGCGTCTTTGGAGGGTGCTACCAAGAGCCAATCGTCGATATACGGGTAGATGGATACCCTTGAGACGAAGGAAAGCCGCAAGCACAATCATAGTCTTTGTGAAGACTCTTGGGGCGCTCGAAAGGCCGAATGGCAGGGCTGCTTATTGGTAATGCTGTTCACCAATTGCGAAGCGTAGGTATTGGCGGTGGGAGGGGTGGATGGTGAGGTGGAAGTATGCGTCCTGGAGGTCGAGGGTGGCTATCCAGATGTTTTTCCGGAGAAGTGGCATAATCTGCTGCAAGGACACCATGCAGAAGCGGTGGTAGGTCACAAAGCAGTTCAGAGCCCTAGATCTAATGTGTCGAACTCCTCCATCCTGCTTTGGAACTGTGAAATAGCGGGAATAGAACCCCTTCCCATGGAGATGTGGTGGTACCGGCTCGATGGCTCCCTTGTGCAGAAGGACGGAGACTTCTTGTAGGAGAGGTGGGGAAGGGGGTGTGGAGACGAAGACAGGTGTAATGGGGTTCTGGTGGAATTGGATACGGTAGCCTTGGGTCAAGATGGACAGCACCCACTCGTCCGTGGTGATATGACGCCAGGTGTAAAGGAAGGAAGATAGTTTGAGCTGACTCGGTGGGAGGGAAGTCAAAAGCCCTGCTTGGAAGACTTCGCCCGCTTGATGCGAGACGACTGTTGTCCGGATCCAAACCTGGGTTTTTGAAAGGTGGGTTTTTGGCCTCCCGACGACGTACGCGGTCTCCATTGTCTGTCAGGAGACTGACAACTTGGGGTGTGCTTCTGCCAGGGTTTAGACCAAGTGCGAGGGCGATATTGTTGCCTCGTGGAGGATGACACTCCTAGAGCGCGAGAAGCCTTTATGTTCTTATCCATATCTTGGAGTATGGTATTGGTGGTGCTGTTGAAGAGACCAAGGCCATCAAAGGAGAGGTCTTCGACATAAGACCTAGTATCTTGTGGAAGATTGGTATTACAGAGCCAGGAATGCCTCCTTTAAGCTATCGCTGAGGCCATCATTCTTGAGGAAGCGTCTAAGGCATGTTTAGAAGTGTTGATCTGCTGCTTCGCCAATACCATACCTTCTTTCTGGATAACTCTGGCTGCCTGAAGCTTGTCATTGGGAAGATGAGTCAGAGTGTATTGATATCTGCTCATGCAGGCTAAGTAATTAGTGGTTTTTACTCCCAACGCTCCCGTGGAGTAGAAGCGTCTGCCAAACGCATCCAATTTTTTACTCTCCCTGTCAGAAGGTGCAGAGTGTGTCCGTTTGGACTTGGAGGAGGATGTTACAACCATCGAGTTTGGCTGAGGGTGGGAGAATAAAAATTCAGCTCCGGTTTCCTGGACTCTATACATGTGGTCCAGGCATCTTATTGACACTGGGGCTGATGAAGGCTTCTCCCATGGTGCTTTTGCAGCTTGTAAAAGGACCACAGACATGGGTAATGCTATGGTAGTGGAGGTATCCAGTTGCACGATATCGAAGGCTGCATCTATCACCTGCGGTTGTTGATGAATGACTGAGAGGCCTAGAGAATGGGCCATTCTCTTGACAAGGTCTGTATAAGACGTGAGATTGTCGAATGGTGATATAGGTAGGTCATCTGCGACAGCTTGGTTAGGAGACTTGTGGTCAGGGGAGGTGTGAACCTCTGAGCCCTCCGTATCCGAATCCTCTTCCGCAGAATCAGAGGAGTCCTGATCTGGCATTTGGACTGGAGTGACCTCGGTTTGACTGGTTGAAGGTTTTGGTGGTACAACTTGGGGATTGGGAGGACGACTGAGTTCTGGAACATGGTGGGAAGGATCGTCGGCCAGAGGACGAGACAGAGATGCTGAAGGTCTAGATTTATAGGGCGACCTTGATCTGTGGGCACAGTGAGATGAGTAACGATCCCAGTCGGAATAACCCACCGGAGTCAACCACGGCATGGATGGCGGATAAGCCCCATAGAGATACCTCAGTTGGCGTTGATCCCAAGACAGAGGTGGTGGTGGGGGGGAGAAAGGCCTGGGGGGATCGACTTCTGGATCGGGGACGTCTCGGAGACAAAGCAGTAGTCTGCCTTTGAGAGCGGTCCCTATAATCTCGGTCATCGATATCGACAGGCTCAAGGTGCAGACGTGGAGGGTGACGCTGTGTGCTGCTAGAAGCGTGTCAATTCCAACATGAATCGATGTCGGGAGCCTCTGCCACCGTCAATGTCGATGACAGGGAGGGAGATAGAGAAGGCTCTGCATCCACCAGACGACTTAGGAGCTCGACCGTCTCGATATCGGAGTAAGGATGCTCCAGTTGTCGTATAGGAGAGTCCAATAGTTGAAAGGTCGGTATTGGTGGGGGGGGCATGGACCTCCGGTATCTATACTGCCATTGGAGCGGGAGGCACGTGTGTAGATTCTCTGCCCCCCCAGACCAGTCCAGGAATGGGAGGGAAAGAATTCTACACTGGAACAATATATTACACCCAGAATCCAGAGAGATAACCTCTCTGAATTTAAGAACAATAGCCACCAGGAACCTCTCAGCGTAAACCCTTACCAACCTGAGATTAGAGGTTCCCAGAATCTCAGTTGGTATGTGGGTTTTACACATTAGCAACTCTGTCCAGAGCTGTACAGTTAATCTTACAGGGTAGCACAATTGGTCAGCAGTTCAGACAACAGGATTTAGCTGGGAGTGCAGTCACACATCAAACAGACACTATTTATAAACAAGAATAAGGTTTATTCAGTAGAGAACTTGCAATCAGACTAGAAGGATTTAAAAGAACAGCCTAGGCAATGTTTTGCCTTACTACACAATAGAAGCATATTTACCAAGTAAGGAACAGTTATCAGTCCAGAATAGTCCATAGTAAGAGTCCAATAGCCCCAAGGGATTTGGAGCAAGAAGTCCATCTTTGTAAGCATGCAGCCATGTGCTCAGCTGCACAAAAGAGTTCTTTGTTCTGCCTCAGACCACATGGCAGGACAAGAGCATTTAAGTGTCCATCCAAGATCTCACAACCAGGAACAGAGAGAGAGAGAGAGATCCTCTCATTGGGTTTAAGCAGATATAGGGTAATTCCAGTCTTCAAATTAGCTCTGGCCAGGAGCCAATTGAAGTAGACCTGGGTGTGCCCAATGGTAGAGTTGTCATGGCTACTATTTCTGAATGGTCAGAGCCTCTGAAGGCCACACCTGCAGTCATGTGGTCTCCACCCCAACCTACCCATGGGCTACGTGCGTTTCTGACATGCTTCGGCAGGGCCATCTGGTAGCTGCCAGCATGGAAGTGTGAAGTATATGGCAGGGCTATTAAGCCCATTTGGCTTCAAGAGGAAATCAACACAGCAGGGGATTGCAAGATACATTCCAAGGGGGAAGGCAAGGGTCTATAGGAATATTTCTATACAGCACGTTTGGGGCATTACCCAGTGCAGACACCGCTACCTTCCCCTTCTTTGCCGCCTTTAGGAACTTAGAGGAGCCCTTTTTTGCGGACTTGTGCTCCTTACTTGGCTTGGACTTCTTCACCAGAGTGGAAGCGGAAGATTGCGCCTTCGATGCCGGTGGTTTCGATGTTGGTTGGCCGATGTCGGAGGCAAGCCTCAATGCTAGAGCCGTCGATATCAATGGTCTCTCAGACTCCATCACTGAGGGGGTGTGTGTGTAACGCCAGCTCAAGTAGCGCCACTTTAAGGCGCGCACCTCAGTTCTTTCGTGTCTGGTTCGAAAACCTAGCACCGTGCCAATAAGACTCAGGTTGGTGAGATTCCCCCAGACAAAAAATACAGAGGGTGTGGCGGTCAGGTGAAGCAAGTTTACTGCCGCAACCCTTAGGTAAAGGTAAAGGTTCCCTTGCTCGAAAGCCAGTCGAATCCGACTCTAGGGTTGTGGTGCTCATCTCCGTTTCAAAGCTGAAGAGCCAGCGCTGTCCGAAGACGTTTCCGTGGTCATGTGGCCGGCATGACTAAACACCAAGGTGCACGGAACGCTGTTACCTTCCCACTGGAGTGGTACCTATTTATCTACTTGCAATTTCTTGCTTTCGAACTGTTAGGTTGGCAGGAGCTGGAACTAGAGACAGGAGCTCACTCCGTCATGTGGCACTTGGGTCTCGAACTGCTGAACTACCGACCTTCCACAGCCTGCAGTTCAGCGTCTTAACCACTTGAGCCACCGCAGCTGGCTATTGCCTGTGTACTAAAGATACTGCACTCCTTATCTGCAACCCTTACAACGGTTCAAAAAGCCCCACTTCTTCTCCATAAAAGATAAAAATGGAGAAGAAAGAAGGGGGTGTGGGTGGGAGAGGCCAAAGGCCAAACTGAGGTAAATCGGCCACTTCCCCCTCAACAGAAAACAAAGTCTTTTTTTAAAAAACTTTTTGAAGAACAAACGAATAAAGACTAAGAAAAAAGAATAAACTGAGGAAAAAATCCGAAGAGCCGTGAGGCAAATAGCCAAAAAAGAGTAACCGATCAGACCGACGAAGAAAAGGTCTTTCCAATGTGGCGGTAAGAAAGGAACTGGCGGGATTTCCGCGCCCACCACTCTGGGCATGCGCGGTGGGGTTCCTGCGCATGCCCGAGGTCTGGGCGCGAAAATCCGTTGAGAGCTTGCTACAATGCCGATCGATCCAGCGCGTGCGCACTAGATCCCATGGGTGTGAAGCACAGAGACCACGTCGAAGATCATCAGCTGTGGGAAGATGGAGGGCTCAGCCCTCCCCCCCCACCCTGCTTATCCCAGATTCGCTCCTTCAATTGCTTGCCAACCCCATGCTTTTTAGGCAACTGTGGCACGTTCAGGCCCGCTTCCAGAGACTAATGCTGGATCTAGGCCTTCTCCATCCGACTGATGTGGCTAACTATAACATATTGAAGATGCAAAGTTAAAAAAAAAAGTTTTATTAACTCACCGTGACATTTCCCGCAGTAGGCAGAGTTTCATCCGTCACCTTTCGGGGCGAATCTATTTGCAAATTAATTCTATGTCGATCTGGACAGCGGTTTTTATCCCTGCAATGTTCATAAAGTGATAGTCTTAATCAACAGGAATGAACTATGCTGAAGAGACAAAGGCAGTAAAAACATTTGCAGATCAGGAAAAGCAAAAACACATGGCTGGAAAGGACAAGGAGGTGCACAAGCCAGTATGACAGCCTGTACGGCAACCATGAGAAACAGCCAACAGAGCAGAAGCAGCTCCTCATTGGTGAAATACGATGTTACAGAGTCGTGCAGAATTTCCAAACTGTGTCGGGGTGGGCGGGTGGCTGGGGATAATGGGCCCTGATTGATTAATTAGCTACATTATCCTGTGAGCCCAGAGCCTCCAGTCACAATAGGAAGTTGCTCTGAGTATTTTTGCCTGATCCACCACCAGGCCCTCCATCCTTCACAGAGTGAAGTGACTGGATTATCATTAGATGCAGCCAGGTCCTTCAACCACTCATGATGGAACAATGCAACACAACTACTTGTCCTCGGAACAGGATGCTGGGTGTGAGTCATTGCTGAATCTGCCTCCTTCCAAATCATAAGGCATGATTAGAACACTTAGTTCATGCAAAAAAAAAACAACCACCAAAAGGGGGCTCCTCTGAGACAGACAGTTCTTGGGTCCAACTCACACAGAGGGTTCCAAGAGTTTTAGCAAACTTCAGCAAGTTATCTTATCCTGCTTTAGCTAATATACATTGCCACCAGACAAGAATTATGCCTCTTCTGCTTTCAGGGATGACATCCTTTTTGCAGCTGACATAGGATAAAACAATCTTTCTAAATCTGTTGAAGTCAAGTTTAAAAGGATGAAAGCTTGTTTAGGATGGCACTGTAAGTGGGAGAGATCAGAATTTTACTAGGTATATATTTAACTTGGGTGCGAACCGAGAGGGTCAAGCAACAAACTATATTATACAAAAATACAAAATGTTTGTTAGGGTGTACACATAACTAAAACATACAGCGGTTAAAAGAAATAGTCTTAAGTTTCAGACTTAAAAGGCTTGTACAACCAAGTTAGTTATTATACAAATACAATTGATGGGTGAAATCTTTTGACCTAAGGACCATATGCATTTTGGCCCCTTCGGGCCTTCCTCAGGGGTCAATATTCTTTATATTACAAGGACATACATCCAAAAATGTACACATAAAAAATTAATATATATACAGGGGTCATTTTGTTAAAAAAAGAGCTGCAGGAGCTCATTAGCATATGGTATGCTAATGAGATACTAGACAATTAGCATAATAGCTCATTAGCATATGTAACACCCCCTGACATCACCGGAAGGGATGTCAGAAGGGGAAGCAAAAGGGGGGGAGGCATCTTCAAAAGCCTCCCCTTCTCTTCCCTTCCCCAGCCAGCGGAGGGGGGGGGCAGCGAAGTTTAAACCCTTTCTCACTAGAGTTGGGCCGCAGAAGGAGGAAAGAGGGAAGGAAAGAGAGAGAGAGAGTAGAGAGAAGGCACGAAGGAAGGAAAGAGGTAGAGAGAAAGAAAGAAGGAAGGAAAGAGGGAGAGAAAGAAGAAGAGAAGGAGGGAAAGAAAGAGAGAGAAGGAAAGAAGGATGGAAAGAGGAAAAGGAGAGAAGGAAAAGAGAGGAAGGAAGAGAAGAGAGAGAGAGAGAAAGAAAAGGAGGAAAAGGAAAGGGGAAGGAAAGGAGGGAAAGAAAGAGGGCAAAGAGATGGGGGGAGGCTCTCCCCCCCACCAAGCCTCTGCCACCCCCCGTAGATCCCTCACTTACCCGGGAGATGGCGACGATGGGTTCACCCATCAATTGTATTTGTATAATAACTAACTTGGTTGTACAAGCCTTTTAAGTTTGAAACTTAGACTATTTCTTTTAACCGCTGTATGTTTTAATTATGTGTACACCCAGCAAACATTTTGTATTTTTTTATTATATAGTTTGTAGCTTGACCCTCTCGGTTCGCAGCTGATTTTGGGTTGAGTTTCTCTCCCCCTGCCCTACCTTTCATATATTTAACTTGCCCTGACCTGGATAGCCAAGGCTACTGTGATATCCTCAGATCTTGGAAGCTAAGCAGGGTCGGTCCTGGCTAGTATTTGGATGGGAGACCTCCAAGCAAGACCAGGGTCATGATGTGGAGGCAGGCAATGGCAAACCATCTCTGAATGTCTCTTGCCTTGAAAACCTTACAGGGTCGCCCTAAGTCAGCTGTGACTTGATGGCACTTTCCACCACCATATTTAACAAACACTGTCAAAGTAGGAGGAGAGTTCACATCTGTTATGAAAAAAAATCGAGCAAAGGACATTTCAGCCACATAAAGCTTCTGTTAAATCTGGATTTTATATTTATTTATTGTCTGATTTATACCCCGCCCTCCGTGCAAGCAGGCTCAGGGCGGCTTCCAGTAACATAAATACATGATAAAAACATACATAATACAGGTTAAAACATAACAATTAAAATAACACATTACAAAGTGCTGGCGGTGGTTAAAATTCAATCAAGAGGAATGCTTTCAGATGGATTTCCAGCTTCCAGCATAAAAGTACCTAGATGTTACTCTGCTCGTCAACTCTTATGGCAGCTGCTCAATGATGACTTTGTGGGCCGTGCGCTGTGGTGGTGGCGGCGGCCCCTAATTATATGCCTGGCGGAAGAGCTCTGTTTTGCAGGCCCTGCGGAACTGCGAAAGGTCCCGCAGGGCCTTTATCTCCTCCGGGAGCTCGTTCCACCAGGTAGGGACCGCCACCGAAAAGGCCCCGGCCCTAGTAGCAGCTAACCTGGCCTCCCTCGGGCCAGGGAGGGTCAACCGATTTTGAGACCCAGACCGTAGTGCTCTCTGGGGTATATACGGGGAAAGGCGGTCCCGTAGGTATGTTGGACCCCAGCCATATAGGGCTTTAAAGGTAAGAACCAACACCTTGAAGCGGACTTGGTATGCTATTGGCAGCCATTGCAGTGTCCTCTGCACAGGCTGGATGTGCTCTCATCTAGGGAGACCCATCAACAGCCTGGCCGTGGCATTCTGCACTAGCTGTAGCTTCCGAATCCGCGACAAAGGCAGCCCCATGTAGTCAGCATTACAGTAGTCTAGTCTCGAGGTGACCATCGCGTGGATCACTGTAGCCAGGTCAGCACGGTCGAGGAAGGGAACCAACTGCCTAATCAGCCTAAGATGATAAAAGGCTGACTTGGCAGTGGCCGCGAACTGGGCCTCCATGGTAAGGGAGGGATCCAGGAGCACCCCCAAACTCCGAACCTCTGGTGCTGGGATGAACCATATTTAACAGAACTTATTCAGAAATGTGGATTGCCTGAAGATTTAAAACCCATTTCCCAAACACTGTAGAAAATCTCTGTGCTTATTACAGAACCCTTACTTTCATTATTCAAGTGGGCCAAAATAGTGCAGATCATATCTTCATTTTGAATATACTACACTATAACAAACTACCGCTACAGAAGGCACAATATACACCAAGATTATTTCTACATAGTAAGTAAAAAAAACCCTTATTTGGCAGAACAGGGATTACTGTGAGATCGGCAAGCTTTCTGCAGAGTTGTTAATGACACCTGAATGCAGCCCATGAGTCACACCAGCATCTCAAAAACCAGGCTCCCCCATCCTTACAGGATTTATACCCCCCCTCCCCCCCATTTCTGTTGCTTCCCTTCCCAGTTACATTCCTGGAAGTCTGGACTGCGATACTACAGAACAAGCCACCAAAAGGAGCTGCAGTTTCTCAACACAGACTACCCCTCACCAAGCACTGTGTTACTGCTAGTGGAACAGACCCCTTGCATTATCAGGGTAGGGGTGGAATAACCAATAACTGAAAGCATTATCAAAAAATGCAGATAGCAGACAAATTTTGTTTAGTTTTGCAACACCCTAACATGGTACATTGGAAAAACTAGGAGAACACATGAAGCTGCCTTATACTGAATCAGACTCTTGGTCTACCAAGTTCTGTATTGTCTACTCAAACAGGCAGTGGCTACCCAGAGTTTCAGGCAGATGTCTTTCACATCACCTACTACCTGATCCTTTGAGTGGAAATGCCAGGGATTGAACCTGTGACCTTTTGAATGTCAAGCAGATGCTTTGCCCCAGAGCCATGGCCCCTCCCCAAAGGGAAGTCACTGCAATTCTTTAAGAGAAGCTTGGTATTTTCTTACTTGCAAATGCCAAATGTTTTAAGGTAGTGACAGAGTGGCCGCCCACTCTTACTGTCTTCTTTGGCTTCAAGCACTCCAGCTATAAAGTCATACAACTCGGGTGGGATTTTGGCATTTGTGCGTTCTAAATAACGCAGCACCCCAGCAGCATGGCATGCAGTCTTTTCTGTCAACAACAAGATGGATTTTGCCTTTGGTTCTCCTTGTTGCAGAGACAAAACCTTTAAAAGCAAGAGGAAATGAGAAAAATAACCTTCCTTCAGTCTTTGTTATGATACAGTGCCATCAATTGAACAGGGTGCAAGAGAGCAGTTGAACAGCAAGGGAGACAAGAAAGGACTCCAAGAATCCTACAATGTACATTTTGACATTGGGACAAGAGAAGAAAGGCTGGGGGGGGGGGGGGGGGGGGGAAGGAAGGACAAATGTCAGCAGATGCAACTGAGGATGGATTTCAAAGGAGTGGACACCACATGGGTCTTCTTGGAGAGGGTTTCAGGCATTAGAAAAGTCAAAAGTGTGAGCAAAGCATTTGAGAGAGGAGACCTTTGGGCAGCTGGGGGTGATAGTGGAAAAGCCACAGGCAGGAATCTACTGGGACATAAAGGCAGAAAGATGCAAGAAGGGGCAGCCAGAGTTGAGCTAAACTGTTGGGTGTTTTCCTCCAAAAACATTCAAAATGTTGTCTCACAATGATATCTGGTTCACTTTTGGTTTATGCAGACCTTTTCTACTGAATTCTGGAAGTTAGCAGACATGCCGTACAAACGCGCACCAAAAGCTCTTGGGGAGGTGGGAAAACTGAAATGGATGACACGCGTTGCATCAGTAATTCCTAGAGCTGACATGCAGTCGTCAGTTAAAACTGCAAAGAAAAACAGAAATTGTAAAGGGGGGGAAAGTAACTGGCAGGTCTCTCATATGTTGCAGCTGTTACACAAAAGTGGAAAAGTCAAAAGGATCAGACCAGCATTCACTTATAGCTGGGCTCCTAACAAAGCTGGGCACCATCTCACATTTTGATATTTTAAAGTTGTGGGAGCACTTCTGCAATTCCATACTCTACATAAAATGTCACTGGTAGACACCCATATGGCAGCCCCATCTTTCACATTATCATCATATGAGAAATATTCATAAAGGTTATAAAATAACATAAAATGGAAGCAGAAAATATCAACATCTAGTTCTACCATACAGTCTGTCCCTGGTAACTGTGTTCTTTCTCCCCATAAAACTCTAGTATGAAATATTTTATAAACTGCTAAAATCCATAAAATACCATTTTGTCATCGAATTCTGTAAGTTATATAGATGCCAAATTAAATCTTGATCAGGGACAACAAAAGTAACAAAGATCTTACAATCTAGCAAGGATCCTTGACAAAACCCACTTGACAAGAAGAAAACACTTACCTAACACAGCATGTGTGCCAGAGCTAATTTTTTTGTTCCACTGTGCTACAACATAATCAAAATCAATTCCTGGCTGTACTCGCAAGCAAAATATTGAAGTGCTCTCCACTGCCTGGTCAGGAAAATGAGAATGGCTTCAAATAATGGGGATTACAATCAGAACAGAATTACAATACCAGAGAATGCTCTTGTGCATTGGCATTCAATGGCTGGGTTAGAACCCAAGATGCATTTTTTTCAGGACAACTAGAAAGATGGGGAAGATGCAAAAGATGTTAGCATTCTTCTCCCACAAATGGGATAACAGAAAGCGGATAACAGAAAGTAGCAGTCTGTTATTTAGGAGTATTTCCCAGACTATTTAAAAAAACCAGTTTATAGGTGTGTTTTTTAAATATCAAACAAATCCAATTAAAATCAGTATATAACCAGCAATTTAAAACTCCAGAAAAGCTGCTAAAAACCTTCAATTCTTCCCGAGCAGCTCTTCTTCAGAAAGGAGAAAATGCTGCACCTACTGGACCACCCACTTCTATATAGATCATGGCTTGAAAACTCTCCCATGTGCTCCCCAAACACACTTCTTGTTTAAAATCCAGCCTGATGAAGAGTTCTGGAGAACTCAAAAGCCTGCACATTATTTAGTGTTATTCTGGCTGGTCTCATCATATGACTTTTTGTTTCAAATTTTGCTCTGGCACGAAAACAGCCATCTGCAATGGCAGTGTTATCACAGCCACCTGTCTTGTATAGACAAGGATAGCAGGAGGAGGAGGTGTGACTGAGTAGCAGCAATCTGTGTGGCATAAGAATGAGAAAACTTAGAGGGACTCACAAGCTCCTTTGTACCCACACTTAAAAAAAAACAAGTTCAAAAATTTAAACATTACGTCAAAAAAGAACAGCAGAAAGAATTATAAAAAGCGTAATTGTGACAGTGCATAATGTTAATATGCAGTAGGCAGTATCTGCAGAAGGTTCTACTCATTCCACAACAGACGTAAGCATAGAAAGATGTTATCCATCATTACTCAGTTTCTATGGCCAACAACACTCATACAATAGTACAATATAGGTAAAAAAAACAAGTTCAAAAATTTAAACATTACGTCAAAAAAGAACAGCAGAAAGAATTATAAAAAGCGTAATTGTGACAGTGCATAATGTTAATATGCAGTAGGCAGTATCTGCAGGTTCTACTCATTCCACAACAGACGCAAGCATAGAAAGATGTTATGCATCATTACTCAGTTTCTATGGCCAACAACACACATACAATAGTACAATATAGGTCCAGGCAGGGAATCCCTGTTTTTGGAGCTTCTACCTGCCAACAGCCAGCTGGCTGGCGGGGGAAACCCTGCCCCCACATGGAAGTGACATCATTGTATCTGTCAGGGCTGCTCCTGCCCCAGCATGTCATGCCTCATCTCTGCCTTCGGTGGAACCCCATCTGTTACTGGGGCAGATCTTTTCCCTCCCCTGGAGGTTGCCCAAGGTCTCAGATGGGCCAAGAGGGGGAAGGTTACTTCACCATCTTCACCCCACTCGGACCTGTTGGTCCGCAACCCCTCTCTATGGTCCTTCTGAGCCACCAGCCTTCCTCCCTGACCTGTCGGGGCTACCTCCTTTTACCCCCCTGTGCCCTCCTTTCACCACCCCTCATTCCGCCCCCTGGCTCCACCCCCTTATTTAAGTCCTGACACTGTGGGTTGGGACAGACTGGTGTCAGCCAACTGCTCTGATGCCAGCTAGTGCAGCTGTCAGGCTGTGCCGCCCTTCTTTGCATGCTGACTTGCTTTGGGCCCATCTTGCCCAGGTGGGGTCTCTCTCCTCTGTCCTCTAGCCCATTCAGACAAGGAGCCCCAACCACCAACTCCACCCGCTGCTCGATCTTCCTAGGGCCAAGGCGTCATTCTGCCCAGCTGGCCCCTGGGACTTTCCTCACCAGCTGGCTTGGCAGGAAGGAGGTAGTTCACTGCTACCGCCGCCTCTCTGTTGGGGTCCTGGGGGTTGGGAGGGGCTGGTTGCTCAGCAGGGGCTGGAGAGCGATGGGTCCCCCACGGCACCACCATGATGACGTCACTTCTGGGTGACGTCAGCACATCAGAGACGTCCCCACTCCCCAACCATTCCCGGAATGCCCCTCAAATCTCGTTGGCAAGACGAAGGGACCTGGCAACCCTAGTACAGTATGACCCATCCAAAGACTCAAGAATATATTTACAGATGGGGAGATTGGTAATAGATTTGCCATTGTATGGACCAGGAAAAAACCTTTCTGAAATAACCTTGTATTTCCGACCCAGCTATTTATCTATCCAATAATTATGAAGGTGAGAAGAAATGATCACGAGTGACTTTTCATAGATCTATTCTATGATAAAAAGAGGCCTGTCGTTTATACCATAAAAACTGTTCACATCTCTAGAACTTCTCAAACAATTTTTAAGTTAGAGTTCAGCTCATGACGCTTGGGAGAGTGACACTTCCCACAAGATTTTTGTGTCCATAAGAGCTTTTCCTGTAAATCCATGTTTTTCAGGGAGAAATACCTTGAAAACCATATCTGTTTCTTCCTTAGAACTGGTGAAAATCAACGTCTTCTGAGCACTAGTAGGAGTAAAATCCAGCACTTGAAGTAATGTAGAGACTTTGTCACACTCAAGGCACAGCTGTACCATCTGCAGTCACATGCAATACAATATTAAATCTTAACAAAAAGCCAAAGGCTATTTTACTTCTGCATATATTCAGAAATACAAGCTAGTTACTCTAAATATTGAGCTGATGATGCTTGCTAAATGAGGAGGTGACTTTCTTTTAACAGATAAGACTCCACAGTTCCAGCATACACTTTTATTTGATCTAGTGTTCATCGTTGTGGCTTCTGTGCAGTCCCAGGCCAGCCACGGAAAAGATTTCCAAACTTTCTAATAGACTAGGAGCGCCCTTCCTCTCTCTGGCGCTTTCCCGCCAAAAAGCTCACATGACCAGGAGGAGGGAAACTACTCCCTCAGTTCTGTTTATGCCACCACGAAGAGAAGATCTCCACTGCTGTTCTCTGTTTTTTCCTCACCTCAGCTTTGAGACTGAGGAGACTTTTTTCTCTTAACAGTTTTTATTCTAGTGAACAATACAATACATCTAAAGAAGAAATATTTTTTGGATTTCCACTGTGTCATTTATTTATTTATTTATTCTTTAGATTTGTATCCCGCCCTCCCCAGCGGCTCAGGGCGGCTAACAAGGGCATAAAATGTCTGATAAAAACAATAAGAACAGTATAAAAATACAATACAATATACAACATAATACAATTAATAAAATATTGATGCTCTACAACTCACTCCAATTCATAAGATCAAGATGGTGTTCTACAGATGTTATAACAATACAATGACCGTATGTCCCCACAACCCCGTATATGTCCCCACAACCCTGTCATCCGCCAGGTACGTCTCGCACCCCCGAAGATACCCGCACCAGCGGTGGTAAGGGTGCGGTGATGGAAAAAGTGTTGATGAAATAATGGTGGCGGCGGCGCCTACTCGAAAGCCTGGCGGAAGAGCTCCGTTTTACAGGCCCTGCGGACTAAAAATGGTGCTGTTAAATGGTCATTCTACCTCTGAGGCGGATGACATCTTGCTGGGTGATTCCAACTGTCCAATCAGGGAGGCAGGAACTTTTTTTCCCACTTCCTGTCTCTTGCCTGTGGGAGTCGCCCTGTTCAGTTCTTTCCCTGCCCAGGGAGAGCAGCTTAGATCAGGCTTTGCCTTTATCTAATCTTTAAAACTCTAAATTCCTTATTCAACCTCATATATCTTCTATCTTAACTACTTCTATATACTTCCTATAATTCTTTCACTGTTCTTCCCTATATTCTAACCCTTTCTGGAGAAGAACAACAACAATGTTATAGATAGAGGCTGTCTTCAACAGCGGCGGCCATTTTAGGAGACAGCGAGGGCTTTCTTCTGCTGAGGAGCTGAACACCCTACTTATTGCTGGTGCCGGACGGGGCACAAGAGGAGCCAGCATGACCTATAGCAGGCTTGCCTTAGGCTACCCCAACGTGATCGCCTGAGGGCACAAGAGGAGCCAGCATGACTTATAGCAGGCTTGCCTAAGCTACCCCAACGTGATTGCCTTAATCGGAGGGGGACAAAAAGCACACGAAAAACAACACTTGTTACAACTGGCTGCTGGAGACCAAGGCAATCAGTCTGCAAGGCTGCAGGGAGATTCCTGTTCCATCTGCAGGCCTTGAAAGCTAGCAACGACTGGCTAATAGATAAAAGAATCTCTATGGGATACAGACAAGATGGCAGAATTTCAGCATTCCAGTAATGTATGTGAACCCGGGCTGTTCTTCCTTCCCCCTGATTTCCTTGTCTCTTCAGAGTCCAGGAGGCTGCTGAGTGCCTTCCCACTCTATAAGCCATGTAAGTGTGGTAAGAATTTTCAGAAATATAGAAGTGTTTGGGTTTAAAATGAACCAAATAAGTATGAAATCCATATACAATATCTGGCTCTGCCCTTGCTAGAAAAAAAAACAGGCTTGACCTTTCTTTCACTGAGGAGGTAACATATTCAATTCCCAGGGAAACTCCACAGATGTGAAACTTGCCAATAACCCCAATTTCCTAGACAATAAGATGTGTGGTCATTTGACCAGCTGGCAAGACAAGCTAATTTCCTGAAATACAGAGGGTTCATACACACACCCTGCTTTCATCTCTCTGATAAACATCAAAGCACAGTTTATTTCCCTGATTGGGGAACACCTGGAAGA